GGAATGTAGGTGTTGAGCACCGTTAGCTCGGGGCAGGCTGATCCATTGCTTTACATTCTGCATTCTTCTCAGTAAATTTCGAAAATTCCCAGCTGATCTTGGGTCTGTCTGGGAGATAATCTATTGCAAAGCTCGGTCGGGTTCGTTAGTAATCGCTTTATGCAATCGATGCTTGATATACTTGTTCAATGGCTGTAAGCAAGATTGCCTCATTGTGTTGCGAGGGATTGCCGTCAAACAAAACAATCAATAAATAATATCAATAATGTTAAGAATAATAATAATAAACATCCCTTCTGTAGCGCCCGCTGCTCGTTAAGTGCCTTGCGCCTTCCACATACATACTGGTCCTTTCAACGTACGATAATTCTTTCAAATACACAATGTCGTCGCCGTCGCAAAAAGATTGGATAAGTGACAGAATATTTATTCGATTTTGCATATTTTCGCGAAACTACAAAGCACGTTTCATATGCAGGATAAGAATAATATTACTCAAATAAACAGTATCAATAATGTTACGAATAATAACAATAAACATCATTTCTATAGCGCCTACTGCCCGTTAAGCTCCTTACACTTTACACATGCACACTGGCCCATTCAGCGTACAACAATTCTTTCAAATGCACAATATCGTCGCGTCACCATAATTAAGATCGGATAAGCGACAGAATATTCGATTTGGCATACTTTCGCGAAACTGCAAAGCATGTTTCATAATGCTGGCCATAAATAATGTTATTCAAATAAAAAATCAAAAGTTGACCTTTTTCCCCTCAGTGTGACAATCAGATAACATTGAGCCGATGTCGGATAGCTCGAGATCCTAGCCGTCCAGATCAGATCGGAATACGTGCCTTCTCCCCCCCCCCCCCCCCCCCCCCCCGCTTCACGGGCGCGTGTCCCGTCTTAATACGACACATCGATGCCTCCTGTGGCAGTTATCTGAATAGTTCTGCGTGACTCTACTATGGGATACCCCAGAAAAAGACTGTGCCAAAGTCTAAAATAGCAAACACATGCGTGAAGCATCAATGTTAAATCAGGCGCTAGTCAAAATAATGAAATCGAAGAAACGCATTTTTCCCACCTGTTTGGCAATTGTTATCGAATTTTTTGTTTTGTTTTTGTGCTCAAAACATTTTGTATCCTTATAAAAACATATTTCCATGTGACTTTCTACTGATAAACGTTGATTACAGACACAAAATATGTAAATGTTCAGTTTTATAGGACTCTAAATCTATAATTGAACTTTTCATACCTTGGCAGCCATTTTCTCTCTAATTTTATCCTTGAAACCAGACTACCCCCACCTCCTCCAATCACAAATATCACTTTTATTCAAGGTAGATTGATTTTTTTTCATTGGAGCAAAGCAAACGAATTAGCTTTCGGGTGATACTAATAACTCTACATGCCCAACATTTGGCGGGCGCCTTATTCTTGACATCTGTGAACAGAGAAGACTTTCGAGCATCTCTTGATAGCGCACATGACACTCTACCGTTAACGGTGTGCGAGAAAAAAAGAGAAAAGCTGCAGCGTATCCCCAAGCAAAGACCCAAGTCCATGTTTTTTCCTTTAGGCCCAGACTTGTTCTCAGGTCTTCAATTATGTAAAAAAAGCATCGAAATTGTATATCGCAGTGATGGTTTGATCAGCAAATTTCGTCATAGACTGTAACTGTTGTGAAGATCTTCAACGTTCAAGCACTTTTTAAGCTGGCGATAAGGCTTTTAAAAAAGTGTTCGACACGCTTGCTACAGTAAATTACTGGCATAATGTTCATCTGCGTTAATGTAAATTAAATTTGCTACATTTGAAGAGATTGCCTGAGATAACATGAAGAGAAAGGCACTGTGCAGGGAGGACGAAGGAAAAGCAGACAAAAGAACATATTTTTTTGGGATAAGTGTTTTACGGCGCTCGCAACTGCACAAGGTCATACGAGCGCGCGGGACCCACTAAATATTTTCAGTAGGTAGGAAATTTGAATTTCGCCAGAGTGGTGGCTACAGCCTACTCTTATCGATTTTTGACCACCAAGGGATCTTTAACGTTGGCAAATTGCTTCTTTCGCCCTTATTCGTGAAGGCTTGGTGTAGTTTTTACTTACGATGAGGCAAGCGGTGCGGCTGAAAAACAGTAACAAGAAGGAATAGCAGTGGAAAGGCTGCAGAAAGACTCAGGAGTCCAAGGAGGGGGCAAAGGAGGTGAGGGGGTGGGGGTGGGGCAAAGGAGGTGAGGGGGTGGGGGTGGGGGCAGAATGTGGAGACTAAAGCAGACGACAGAATATTGTTAGAGAGCAGGGAAGGATGTGAAAGGAGAACTTTTTAGAGAAGTTAAAATGTTTCGTTGTTTTCCGGATTCGAACCCGGAACCTATGGAATGAGAGGCAAACACAATAACCTCTAGACCACGAGAGCCCCCTGAAGAAGAGATGGGAGGATAACTTCCGAGAATGGACAGCTATGGGGCTGGGCTCTCGTGGCCT